AATAGAAGAAATCAAGAAAACATTGTTTTGGATTCTTACATTTTCTTCGCTAACACTCGCATTATTTATCCTTTTTAACTCCTTTTGCACTCTATTTTTTCAAATCTTTGATAGTTAGAATAATACTCTGTCAAAAATATGAATCAATAGTCGAAAAGTGTTGAACAAAGTGAATTACAAATTCTTTTTTTATTTCTTCGTAACTTTTCATATTAAAGTAAGGGTATACCACTTATCAATCTTTTGAATCATATTCTATGATTCTAACTCTTATCTTTATTTAAAGTTTATCAACTTATTACTTGTAAAATTATGTTATCAATTCATATAATAATTGTCTCAATAAAATGATGTTTTTCAATGTTGAATTGATAAAATCTTACCTAAAAGTAATAATGAAAAAAAAGTATTTGAAAAAATTATTTATAAAAAAAAGATATTAAGTAATAATTTACATCTAAAAATTTAGAAAACTAAATAAATACAGATAGAGTTTATTTAAATTTTAGGCCTCTAATTAGAATTTCGCTTTAGGCCTTACATTATGTTTAGCCACCCCTGGTTCTAGATACACTGTACTTCGCATGTATTTGAGATACATAGACAAATCTCGCTCGCATATCTATCTGGTATCCCAGATTAATGTGAATCATATCAAATACATGTATCTAGTATGTATCTCGTCATGTGATTTGCATGTATCAGGGATACATAGACAAATTTCAGTCGATTCCCTCCTGTTCTCGCTCTTTCCCTCTTTCCCTATTTAAGTGTATCTAGTAGCAATAGTTTTACATGTATGTAAATGTATCTGACTTGAAGTCTGGTATGAAATTATTAATTAATGAAATAAAATGTAATTATTTCAAACAATAAAAAAATAGTAAATATAATAGGTATGTTTGTGTAATTAGGTAGTTTCTCCTTATTGCAAAAATACTTATTTTACCTTTTCATATAGTTAATACACGTATTTTAGCAAAATGATTAAATTGTTGAAATTTTATACATAAAAATATGTTCAGCCATTTTAAACTTGAAGGCAACTTGCAACATCAATATAACAATATCTCGTACGAGTTAAAAGAAAATCTTCCAAAATGAAGAAGAAAAAAAAGTTAATTAAATTCCAAAGCAG